AGAAACAAAAACATGTCATCTTCTGTAAGTATTTGTGCAGCCCAGTCTGTGGTCTGTAATATAACATTCTAAAAAAGGTAGTAAATTAGGTCTGGAACTGTTTCAATCAAAGGTAATAATGGAAAATAATTTTATTATGTATATTTTTTATATAATTTAATGCCACTTAAAAGCCCATACTTTAAATGAAAATATACATATGTATACAATAATCTCCAATAACTTAGTTTAATATACTGATATTACCTCGCTAAGTGTTACAAAGTTTATTGTTAAAACAATTGTCCATCTGTCCATCCATCATCAACAGTCCATTTACCTGTTGTTTTACTGACTTACCCCTTATGATAAATACAGAGGCAGGGCAGCCTGGCAATGGTGTCTCCCTGCTCCAGCTCATCTAAACATATAGCACATTCCCCAGAGTCTCTGGACAGGATGTCCTCTGAGAAAGACCGCAGAGAGACAGAATGGTCAGAGAGCTGCCTCCCATCTTTGATCTTCACCTCCAGTGATGGAGTCAAGCCGTCATTACATCTGCTTTCACCATCAGCTCCCGTTCAGCAACAGAGGAGTGATAAAAGCAAATGGTACTGCTCTTTTACTGGGTTTTTCTTAATGGATTTCAGATGAGATGACTAATGAAAATAAGTAATTAACGCTTTCTGTTTCCGAAGCAACAGGTCTTAGTGTAAACCCCTGAGGCGGGATGAAAACATCAAAACAATTTCTGGAAAATACCCAGATGACTCTTTTGTGTGTACTTTTATTTAATCTTATAACTGATAAAATGGGCTTTTTTTCTTATTTTTAAAAATATCAGCAGGAGGAAAAGAAAACCACTTAACCTGCCATCTTTGTGCTTTTCTTCATTTACTTCTTTCCTTATACGGCACTGCTGGAAAACTAACCCCAGGTCACAAGTTCTTCTTGTTACATGCATGTCAAAGGCTTTGCAAACAAACACACTGGGGTAAATTGCTTAACTGGTGTCTTACTTTTGTCCTACTTGTTAGGTTCCACGTGAACAGGAGACTGTGTACTGCAATTACTTTAAAAAGAGCCAATTTTACATAATAATGGAAGCTTTTACCGTGAAGGACAGTCAGGAAACTTTCATTGAAACACCAAGTTGAAGGCGCTGACCTTGCACAATCAAAAAACATCAACACACACAACACCCACCCACTGGTGGTTTTTAGATAGCGCTGTGGATGTCATAGAAAACAAAAACAACTCGAGTTCCTCTGAGCCGAGGCGAGCAGAGGAGTTACGTCTTCACGAGGCCTTCCTGTTGTCATAGCAGCTGCCGTGTTGTTGGCCAGAGCTCTTGAGGTTCATACTCAATTAAAATGGCATTGTACAACACCGAGCACATTTTACAACTCAGTGTATCTCTGGTGTAGGTAGAGGATAATGCTATAATTACATAGGATTCACATACTGTACATGTTCGCCTGTAATAAGTCAGACAACATCTGCTGATAACACATATGTTTGGGTGGGTGTGTTCAACCTCAGGGCTGAGTCTGCACATGTCTCAACACCTTAAGACGAGCAGCGATTTCCCCCCTGCTTTAACAGAATTCACAACAACATTTTTTTTTGTTTGCTGTGAAAGCAGTGTGCATATAAAGGAACTGCCTCGGCCTTCTTTTTCCTATGTGTACACATGTGGGTGTGCACCGCACACACGGTCTACATGTGCACGAGCAGGTGTTGGAACAGGTGCAGGTGCAGCAGAATTGACCGCTGATCCTCGCAGGAGCGTTTCTTTGTATTCACAGTATCATCTTTCAAATGTAAATATGTGTTCATGAAGCATTAATTAAAAATAAAGCAGAAAAGCTGAATGTCAGTATAATTTAATCTAACCCACTTGGTGTTAATTATTGGCCCCTTCAAGGAGATGGCACGGGCAACCACGACCCCCTGGTCATTTGAATTTGAGCCCCCTCCTCTAGGCTCTGTTCTTGCAAATCAAACTTCTCCTGTATCCGTGCAATATTTCATCCAGCTATAGTAGTATCAGCATTTCCTAGAAGTTTGATGCTGTTTCGTCTGCTTTGAACTCATCTGATCATACAATAAAAGGTAATAATTTCCCTCCTTACTGTTGTAGGTGAGGCGTGTTTTGCTGAAACACATGAGCAGATGCTTCTCAATTTCATCAGATGCCATGAACTTGGAGCAGAGGGGACAGTGGAAACCTATCAGAGACAGAGAGACACAAGGACAAAAACATTAGGACCCAGATGTGTCTGCGTCTGCGTCTCTCTCCAAACCTTGTATTGATATATACACAAGAGAGGGTGCGGGACCGTGTGTGTGCGCTTAAACTCAGATCGTCCGACGTCACCTCGCACCTGACAGAATCTGTTGTAAACCATATGTAGCTGCTAATCTGCTAATTGATTACCGTCCGTTAGCTACAGTATCACAAATACGTTTTTCCTGTTGCATCAACCTTTTGTATTCCACATTTTAAATTAACAACTGGTAGTTTGAGAATGAATTGTTGAGAAATGAAACTAAAAATATTAACTAAGAAGATGAGAAGATTAGTGAAAAAAATGACTAAAATTGCCTTGTTATTACTTAATAGATAACTACGGTTTAAACCTAAGATGAATAACATCAAACTTGAATTATTGTCTTAAAAGTATTTATTTTCATCCGATAATATTTTTAATAAAAACTGGCTTTAATTGTGAATGACATGACCTCATCTGAAGTTGTTGTCAGTTCAGTCCGTCACCTCGTGACTGTATGTGTTGTCTCAGACACACAAAGATTAATAGGCCAAGAGCTGCTTGACTTTTCCAGATAAGCTGTTTACGTTATAACACCTTGGGCGAGGACAAGAAAAACAAGTGCGAAGACGCAGGCCGTCGTTAGCTCAGTTATCTTAACGACTGCCGCGGAACTTGTGCCTGTTCCTTTTGTTTGACACAGGGGAGCTGAGGAGACAAAACAGGCTGTGGATAACACGTCAGGGCGACACAGTCAAGCTCACATGGCCCTGATGTACAAAGGTTATACAACAAAAGCACTAATGATTAAACATCTCCATCAGGGAAATGAGCGATGCCCGTAATCCAAAAACAGGAAGAATACCTTCAGAGATGTTTTTTTTTTTTATCACCTTCAGATAAAGGTTCAAGGGAAATTGTTCGGATCCAAGAATCTGCAGCTACACTTTAGGTCCACAAGGTGCATCAGAGAGTTAAAAAAAAACTTCTTTAAAGTATTATTTTGTGACTCATTAACATTGTCAGTGGTGTTGTGTAAGTCTGGTCCAGGCCTTGTTTTGTTGTGGTCCGGTGACAGGCAACATTTTTAGACTGCGAGACATGTCGATTCAGGAAGTTCGTGTACGTGTGTCGGTGACTGTCTGTCTGTGTGTGTGTGTGTTTATGTGTCAGGCAATGTGTAACCAGCAGGAAGCCCTTATCTGCTGACCTACATTTTGCACTCTTCTCCCTCAGCTGGAGAGAAAAACAGGACGGTTTTGCAAGACTCGAAAGAAGCAAAATAGTCCCAGTGCTGGCTGATTACAGCAGAGCCACCTGTGGCTACAATAAAAGTGCACCGTGATTAAACAAAGGGCTTAGTCAATACACACACACACACTAACTGTATTACCATATTATCACATGTCAAGTGGAAAAGTACAGAGCCGTCTCAACCAACAGCAGACAAGCTAATTGACAAGCTAAAGAATTGGTAACTTTGATCCTAAAATTAATAAATACAAATAATAAATATGAGTTACAAGATGTTGGTAGAGAGCAGACATCAATAACATGGGTCAAGTCATCGGGGTTCTATAGAAAAAAGGATGACTATGTACCTCACTCCAGGGACCAAAACAACCCTAAATTATGGCAGAAGTTTTAGGTTTTGTTGCAGATTTGTTTTTTTCTGAACTTGGTGTTAAATGTTTACCTCCCAGCAGGCTAGGGGACAGGTGGGTTGGCAACGACCCAATGAGCAGTCTGTGGCCCTCTGGAGACAGCTGTCCTTCGATGTCCCCGTCCGTGCCATCCAGGCTCTGGTTCAGGACATGTGACCCTGACCTGCCGCCGGCCGGTATACTGGTCGGCCCTCCACTAGTGTAACGGATACTGGGTCCATCTGGTCCATTTGTGTACCTGAACCCCGCAATCCTCTCCCCGCCGCTAGAGTTTCCAGATGGCAAGTCGGAGCTGGAATAAGCACGAGTTCTGCCATCAAACACTGGGCTGCTCGGTTTGGCCCCCATGCCGTCTCCGGTTCTTCTCCCTCCTCCTGGTTTTCTTTTGCGCTTTTAAGTTTCTTTTAGCCTCGAACCATGTCCGCGACGAGTCCTGAAGAGTCCACCACGACGACGACAACAACAACAACAACAACACAGGTATTCCCTAACAAAGAGAGCGCAGGCAAGACTAGGTAAATCATCTCAAAGTTTCATGGTGCGCCCTCCCAGTGCGTAAAGTGCGCACTCACTGACGCACAACTTAATTTCCAAATGGTTGTTTTTCTTCTTCTTCTTCTTCTTTGCGGCAGCAGCAGCAGCAGCAGCAGCAGAGCCCGTCCCTTTTTAAACAAAGGGGAATGTGAAAGATAGGGATCTCTTTGGAGCAGCTCTCTCTCAGTTTCTCCGCTCCATGCAAGCATGTGAATGCAAATGTTGACTCACCGCTCGCCCGGTTCAAGTTTGTTTTTGTGCTCAACTGCGCTCGCCTGCGAAGAAAAATAAAAGCAGGGATTGATCTACTCCCTCTGTGAGACAGCTGCGTTAACTGGAACAGAGTTCAGCACGATAAAGCAGAAGTTTTCCTCCAGAGTAAAAGTATTATTCATTGTAATGCGCTTTATTTGGGTTTTCTTTCTTTCTTGCTTCAACTGTGACTATGTTGATTAAATTATAGAAGCAAAAAATGCAGACGCAATTTTTTCTTCTACAAATTATATTTCTATAAAATGTATGTACAGTAGAAGTACTGCTGGTACTCGTGTTATTAGTAATACGTGATAGTGCAGGAAATGCATAAATCAGCAGCAAATGCAGTAATAAAAATGATATTTGTCTCCTTAGCAATATTATAAATTGTTAGAAATCATATTAGTAATTCATAATAGTAGTATTAAGCAGTAAAAACGGCATGGTAGAAGCATTAGAGATAGCAATAGTGAAAGTACTGGCAGTATACTCTATATGGTAGTGACGTTGGTAGTAGCAGTGGAAGATATAGTAATAAATAAATAAATAAAGTAATAATAATAATAAAATAATAATAATAATAATCAAAGGTCACAGTAGCTAAAAAATCTAAATACTGATCAAATGAAACAACAACACGTGACGCTCCGTTGATGCTCTTGTTTTGAAATCCATGTCACTACTTCCTATCTGGGCTCTGTCAACGTCAGATTTGACGCAGCCTGGAGTGGGCGCGTCAGGTGGCCCGTGACGTCAGCCCCAGCAACACCAGCAGCAGCAGGTCACCGGTCCTGTGTGAGATATGAAAGAGAGGCATCCATGTTGGGGCCTTTGTGTGCTCTCAACTGCAGGCCATTCAGACACAAACAGACGCCTCGGCACCGAAGGCTCGTTTTTACACGCTTTATTGAACAATTTCACACGTCGGAGGGCAAACGGAGGATACACTGCATGAGGAACATCCAGAGAGGCAGTTAAAAAGACAAAACATTTACAAAGCAAAGTAAGCAGATAAATAATGACGCTCCGGCATGTTGGAGTCGCGCCGGAAGCATCGTTTGCGCTGGATGGTGACGTGCACCTGGGGCAAGCAGGGCCACTGTCTCTCCCCTGGGTCCGTGACACCCAGGTGTGGGCCAATCAAATTTTAAAATCGGGGGGGGGAGGGAAAAAACCTTGAGGGATGCACAAAAGTTCAAAACAACACTCTCAGAAGACATATCAGGAGAGGAACACGTTAGATCGTTGGGGGAAATGATGGCAGATCGGTGGCAACCAGGAAGACTACGGACGGTGGTCGTGTAACAATGGGATGCTGAACGGGGAAGAGATTAAGCTGCAGCATTAATGTCTCCGTGGTGACGGTGATATAATAAGTAGCACAGATTTCAAATGTCCCCATAAAACGAAACAGAGAGACACGTTTCTAAAATACGACCCATGCTACTGTGAAGCTTTGATTTCTACACCGGGGAGCACAAATGTTTTCAAACACTTTTCGGACACGTATCTAATACCGTTCTCCCAACTCGCTGCTCGTACATCACTCCACGTTTTCAACCGTCAGTTTCCGACCGCTTTCCCTCTCGCACTGCCTTAGTGTCAACCAAGAATAAAGAAAGTAGGTTATCTTCCACATTCATCTCAGCGTTCGGAGAGGAAGTAGAGTATTGCGTTAACATCTGACCGTATTTCTGCATATGAAAGTCAACCCACGTAACTAGTATTGCTGTGCTGTGGAACTTTAACTAACCCAATGGTGAATGATAAGACGACTCACGTAGCCTTCGTGTGTGTGTGTGGGCGGGCGGGCGCGTGTCGTAGGGGGCGACAAAGTGCACAGAGAGGGCACTCTTTGGAAAGCAAAGCCACTGAAACATTCAAGAACATTTTTTTTAGCAAGTGTGTGTGTGTGTGTTTGTTTGTCTATGTGTGTGTGTGTGTGTATATATGTGTAACAGTAGTGGGGACGCAGGAGTTGTGGCCTGGGATTTTTTGGGTCGCTCTATCCCAGCTGCAGGCCTTTCAGGGACAGATCACTGCTGGCTGACTCCCATCTGCTGCTGGTCAGGCCCTGGTTCTCCTTCCATGTCATTGTGATAATGCTCAAAACTGTCATCTTCTATGTCTGGAAGACCGAGTAACTGAGGGACAAAACAAGAGACGAGTCACGTGTTAGACACAGCAGGTTAGGAAGGGCTTGTTCCTCATATAGGGCCATTTTATACATAAATCCAAATGACTTTTTCCACTCGGTTGCCCCACGTGTCTAGCATGTGTTAGTTACTTTACATTTAAATAGGAGATTTTTTTTTGGAGGTCACAAAAGTACCATACAAAAATGTAACCTTTTTAAGTTCTCCCAAAAATATCCTTACAAACGCTACGCAACATGAACTGCTTGATATTATTCCAATCCCTATAGTCAGACCAGATGTGTATTGGAAAAAAAAAAGAAGATAACAACAGCAAACGGAGGTCACTGTGTTTCTGGTAAATGTGCATTTTGTGACAGACTCACAGGTCTGAAGGATGTGAAGACCTTCTCCAGCACCTCCAGAAGAGTCTTTTTCCCACAGGAAGAGATGTAATCCTGGGCCAACTGTAGGAAGGGGAGACAGTCCTCGCTCTCGCTCCACACATGCTGTACACACAACAACAAACAACAACGCAGTTATTAACGAAACCACTAGAAAAATACACAGGACTTTTCTGTGCCTTACTTAGAAATGTAAGGATGTTATGGTCAAATTGTTTGCAGTCTTGAGAAACTCAGCCCACCTACATACTGTACACAAACCCGCAGCCCGGGGGACACAACCGTGGCCTCAAACTCCAGCCTGAAGGCCAGCGAGCCAGCACCAGGCTGTTAGTATAATTGCACTCTGTTCATGTTGGATCTAAATCAACTTCTTAGTCTTTTTTTTTTTTTTAATATGCCTCGGAACACTTATGGGAACAGTTAGATAAACACTGATCCCTGGGAAAATATATCAGAGTCATTTCACTTCAGTAGGTTTAGTGCAGTTTGATTGGAGTCTAAAGGCCACACTGTTAGATGATCTATTATGCAATTTCATTAAGGAAGTCTGGCCATGTGTGAACAATGACCTGAAGGAAGTAACTGGACATTTGTGAAACAGCTAGAAACTCCCGGTGCCAATTAATGTTTGTCTACGACCTTACAAATGGTTCACGTATTGACTTCTGGAGAAGAAGGTCATGTCCGTGTAGTTCTCAGTTTGTTCATGTGGTTCTGTGTAGCTCTTTGTTGTTTTTTTTGAACAAATATATATAATATTTGACATAACAATCCAATTTAAAGTTCATATCAATGTGGCTTAGAACAAAAACTTTCCATCAATGTTCTGGCGTGATGTAAACTCCCCCACCAGGACAGTGTGAGTTCACCTGGTGTTGTGTTTTGACTATGGTGTTTCAGACATAATTTATGCCTGGCTCTGTGACTCATTCAGTTCAAGGATGGCTGCTCCAGGACAGTGGACAGTGGGCCATGCATTCTTGGCCGAAGGCACGGCCTCACATCACAGCAAAAGACTCTCGGAAGATAAGAAAGTCTTGAGGCCACATTCAAAATCCTAAAAAAGAAAAGTTCATGCTTGATACG